AAAAGTTATAATAGTTATAGTATGTATAGTTTCTTGGTTACATGGCAATTAAAAGGTTGGTCAAAATGACCAAACCTGTATACAAAAAGTTAGAGTTCTCTGTCAGATGGAATTAGAACATTAACAAAAAAATTTTTTTTTTAATTAGAAGTCAATCATGTGAAAATTCATGAAATATTACACACATGGTTAAAGAGCTCTCTGTCAGATGGGATTAGAACATTAACAAACTAAAAATGTTTGAAAGATACAAGTCAATCGTGTGAGAAAATCATAAAATCTTACACATATTGTTGCTGATGTGGCATGAGCAGTATTGTATACATCTAATCATTGATTAATCTGTTTACGAAGAATATGTAAATTTACAAATTTTTTAAACATAAGGAAATTGATAATGTATATAAAATTGTTACATATACAACTTAAAACAGTATATAAGGTAATAGATTATAATTAGGTGTAAAAGAAGTAACATAGTGTTTTGTAGTGTACAATGCCTATCATATCAAAGTCTATTGAACTTTACTTCTTTTAAATTAGGTTATAGTAGGTTTCTTTGCTGGTAGGGTTATGGGCTTCCACATAGAGTTGATTTTGACTTGTCCTGTGTGTCTGTTGATGCCATTTTCTGGCCCTGTATTTTTATTTGAAGAGCTTATTTTATCCCCCTCCTGGTATGGTTAGACTATCACTCAGGAACTGTGGCACTTTCCATTTGTATTTTTTATGGTAAATAGCATTTTGTGTTCCACAATGGCAAACAAAGCTGAGTGTTCAAGGTGGTGGGTGTTCCTGAAGTCTAACCTTTAATGGCCTTTTTATATTTAACTCTATATACAAAGTTTCTGCTCACAGAGAAATGCAGGATTGTTTAATTTTATAAAAACCCATTTTAGTGTTCTGCTTTTTTTTTTAAGACAGTTAGAATTTTGTGTTTGACACAAATTTGGAGGATGTTTTATCAAAATCAACTATTCGAAAGTGCTCGAGTTTTGGGTCTTATTTTAAGTTTATTACACTTTATATGTGATCCTTTGTGCTAACTTTTATCAAAAGAGTTATCAAAATCCTGGTATCTGTGGTAAAAAAATTGTGGGTATCTTATCAGTTTTGAGTTTTTGTGTAGTCTGATTTCTATTACTGCTCTGGTAGGTGTTGATTTGTTTTTGTTTGATATTTAAGGAGTAACCATTTTTTTGGAATATATAGTGTATATGTTTGAGCTCAGTGTTGCCGAATTTGGGTTCATAAATGTAAAATACCCTTTTTGTTGAACAGTTTGAGATATCCTGTTTGTCTGATAGTGTATGCCATGAGGTATAATTTAGATATTAGTTGTTGTGTGTTGGTTTTCTGTAAGGTTTGGTCAGGATATTTTGGTCATTTGTGATGACTAGGACATCAAGAAAAGATGGTTTCCATTCATTTTTGGCTTCTAATGTAAACATTCAGTATCTCATTCATTTGGGTGGGTTTTTACAATTCATATCTCAGCAAAGCCCAACCTTCTCCTCTTTGTTTGAGGGACATAGCAATTAGTTTCCAATGCCATATCCTCTCTCTCTCTCTTTTGGAGACTTGTACTTCCATTGAATCCCTTATCCCATTTGGTTGTGCTCATATGAGTTTTGAGTTATCAGTGGAACCTCACTCAGGATCCCTTATCCTTCAACATTTTCCTTCCTCCTTCTGTGTTTGTTGACTTCTCCTGGTGGCTCAACAGAGTCAGTCCACAAAGGGTGTTCCTCTACCTCCCTCTCGTCTAGTTTTTTTACAGATGTGTCCTTGATGGGGTGGGGACATATCTAGAATCTCAAGAGATTTTGGGTTGGTGGTCCCACATTGAGTTGAGTTGTCCCTTCATATAAATCTCTTAGACATTTTGGTGGTACGTTCAGCTTTGGATAATTTTTTCTGATGGTTCATGGACATCTGCTGATCCATACGATAACTCTACAGTTATCTGTTATATCAATTGCCAAGGGGGCACCCAGTCTCACTCTTTCTATTTTCACACACTCAATTTCCTTTTCTGGCCCTTTTTTTACAAGTATGTTTTATTGTTTTTCATATTCTGGGTGTCCTAAATCTTGTTGCAGATCATCTCTTGAGGCCCAACAAAATACTACCTACAGAGTAGTCTCTTGATCCTCTTGTGTTGAAGTGTCTGTTTTCTGTCCTGGGTACTTCTCTTCTAGATGCTTTTGCCATTCATTTCAACATCAAACTTCTTCTTTTCTGGTGCCCTGTTTTTCATCCCTCAGCTCTAGATGTGGATGCATTTAGTCAGGATTGATCCAACATTTTTCTCCATGTCTACCCTCCTTTTCATCTTCTTCCTTGTGTGTTTTCCCTGATTCAGGACACTCTGTGTCAAGTCCTCCTGATAGCTCTGTACTGGCTGGTTTCCTCTGTTAAATCTCCTCTTTTACCTTTGTCACACTCCCTTCTCCTTCAACTTCACTCCTCCCTCTCCCATTCGACAGTGTCATCACTCTGTCTTCACGCAAGGGCTGTAGCCTTTCTTTTTTTTGTTCTGTTCATTCTTCCTTCCACCATGTATATTAATGAAAATGGTGTATATTCCATAGTTGGTCTCTGCTTTGGGCTTTTTTTCACCTTCCTGGCTTCTGTCCCTCATCTTTTTGAATTGACAAAGGCTTATCACTTTTAACCATTGTTTGCTACAGGACAACACTATTTAATACCTTCAGGTTTTCCCATTGTCATCATGTCTTCTCTCCTGTCCTTTCTATGGTGTCTTGTTCTTTTTGCCTTATTTGTCCTCCCTTTCCTGTAGGTCTTCCTGATTGGGACCTGAATGTTGTTCTTCACACCCTTATCCTTCCTCCTTTTGAGTCTATGCCTCTTGTTCTTTGTACTATTTTTTGCTTAGAACATATTACTTACTTCTTTTTGCCTGTTGCCATAGGAGATCTGATGTGTATGTTAATGATGCTTCCCTTATTCTTTACCATCATATTATTCTTTATCCTGTTTGTGCTTTTTGTCTAAAATGTCTGTGGCTAGTGAAGAGGACAGTGTGTTCACTTTTATTTCCCTTCCATCGATTTCTCACCTTTACTCTTGTTCTGGTCCTGATCATCATCTCTGTCCTGTTCATGCATTCCAGTGTTACTTGGCCTGCACTGACCCTTTTCGCAGTTCATGCTCCTATCTATTTCTTCCTTGGAAGTCCTCATCTACTAGAGATGTTTTTCCCGTTATTCTGATGGGATGGCTTTAGCAACTGATCTGTCTAACATACAGATTTTTTAATGTAGACTCGTGGTAACTCTTTCAGGTCATTTCTAACCAAATCCAACACCTTACTCTCTCTCTCTGGCTACTCACTTTTATCAACCATTGTAAGAGATCATGCAGGCTTGCATGTGGACAACCCTGCATACTTTTGTTGCACGTTATCTTCATCCTCTGGCCATCTCTTCCTCATCAGGATATAGACTTCCTCATGTTGCTATTCTAAATATGCAATATTGGCTATGACTGGGTAACTTTTTTTTTCTCTCTCTCTTAACTTTATAGGGGCCCTATTCTAGGTCTCAGGATCCCACTAAGTAGCATGTGGTGCCTGCCAGGGTATACTTGTATTTAAATCTACAATGCATGGCCATTTTGGTCTGTAATGTTCACTGATGAGATGGGGTGTTCCACAAGACTGCTAGAGGTTTCCACACGGTATCATATTTACTAAACAAGGCCTGATCCAGACCATATCTACTCATGGACTATCATAAATAAAACAGTGTCAGGATAGTTGCCCATGACTCTAGTCCAAGATGGATAAACTGGGACTGGCCTGTTTTTAAAAATAGGGTTTTGTGGTCACCCATTGCACTGTCTTAAAGTGTTGCAATCCTTCGGGCTCCCCAATGCCCTTTCACCTCCTTTATTCTAGTGTGGTTTGAGAGTCCTTTTCCATTTGCCATTTTCTAGCTGCTAGGATGGTGGATTATGGATGCTTCCTTCTGAGTGTAACTTACTGATTTTATTCAGTAAAGAGTAGAGTGGAGGTGTTCTGTTGATGTAGATGGTGTGGACCCTTGTATTGCAGAATTGATGAAAAATTCCCAATGACACCTGGTTTCCCCATCCTACTGTTGCCTGGATGTGTGCAGGGATGTCACACATGAGCACTCCTCAGGTCAGCAGAACAGAGGATAATTTTCCTTCTTCTTCATATTAAAAATTACTGGAACCCATCTTCTACTGGAGACCAGATTAAAAAAAAAATACCCAGTGCTGCTTGGTTTTGGACTGGAGTTGACCTGCTACGTACAGTTTGATATGCCCAAACTACACTACACAGTTTGGCATGTCCATGTTCCCTACTCAGGTTGTGGGCTGTGCTTGATTTCTGCCTGACTTATAACATGTCTTTATTGTGGCTGAAGAGTATACCTTTGTACAGAAGGGGTGCAGTCTCCCATGGCTGTGCCACTATACATTTCCATGGTCTAGGGTATCACACTCCATGGGTTCCCTTTGGATGCTTTTTGAACTTGCACTTGTCCTTCCACCATTCCAATGAGGGATTCTAACTAATATGTGAGCAGAGGTAAGATATTCTGTTGGAAGTTATTTTCCAACACTGAAAATGTATTTTCAATAGATAGTTACCTCCGCTATCACTTCCAACCCATCCTCCTCACTTTTGGTGTACCTTTTCTTGCCTAATTTTAAAGTGATGTTTGAACAATCAGATAGCTGGAGTCAGCTCTGCTAGGAGGGTTGTTGCAGGTTCATTTTCATGCTACAGTGGCAGCAGTAGTAGGTAGGAACACATGTGTTTAGGTGAGAGCCTCAAGGCTAGTGTGAGTGAAAAAATTGGAAATATGGAGGAAAGCACAAAATTGGGAAAAGTTAATATGTAAGTGGAGGTATTTATCGGAAATAAATTCTCAGTGTCAGAAAATAACAATTCCTAGATAAAATGATGCTTAGAATGTTTGAAACTTTTTCTGCCAAATGAATAATACTTTTACTCCTATAGTTTCCTTAAGGCTGATGAAAATGAAGATACTTGTAGAATACACCAAGAAAAAATTGCTGCAGCTGTTGATATTACAAGTGCTACAAAGGCAAGTTTTTGTTGTTTTTTTCATTTCATTGTGGTGGATTGATACTTGGTATTAGCTGTATCATGCCTAGCAAAATATTAAGTAAGAACAGTATTTAAGAAGTAAAATTTGCTTACAAATTTAATTCAGAAATGGCTTTATGTGTAAATCAGGTCTTGATTTTAAGGAAATTTCCAGGTTGTCCTTCAGACAAGCTGACCTATATCAGAAGTTGGCCGGTAGTCTGTATGGATTGTTTAAAAAAAATAATACATAGACACTCAAAAACAATCCAATTATGACAATATTGATGTAAAAAGACCCAATTACAAGAATTTTTGATGTTATTTCTCATTTTGTTCCAAAAGGTATGATTAATATTTAGTTTGGAATTTTGCATCTTTATTCAATTCATTTTTGACACCTTGTTTCCCGGTTAGTTTCATTACATTGGAGAAAATAATCCCAAGCCATGTTAACGTTACATAGTATCTTAAGGAAACAAACAGTCAATGACCTGTAAAACTTTTAAACAAAACAGCAATTTTGGCCAACCATGTTCAATGTTTTTGTTCTAATCAGCTCGTCTTGCTTGCCAAGTACAGTAAAGTACAGCCTGTAGTGAGACTGGACTTGCATTGGAACTCTCATTTATACTTCTATGCTGTAATACATACACAATGCTTGAGTGCTGCACATGTACACACACACACACACACACACACCATTCATATGTATTGTCATTCATACTCATAGTCTGTATTGACCTGGAGATAGGCAAAGCTAGTCTTATTTTGTTCATTGTTATTCTGTTTTGTACTAATCAAATCTTTCATAAAATTTATTTTCACAGTTATCATTATTATGTTCTCTTTAATTTGTGTATTTTTCCCACTTTTCTCGTGGTAGCTAGGCTTTCCATATTTCATAGACTTGATTGGTCATGTCTGTCTAACATTAGCCTTAGACCTATACATATGTAATTGAAAGGGGGTCAGTGTTTCAGCTGTGAAAATTAATGATAAATTCTGAGTTTGATTTTGTAAATTTGATTATTTTAGCTCCTACTGAAGGTTTATTGGTAAGAAGTTGAGACAGCCACCTTAGTTTTGTTTTTGTAAGCATCTTTACTAGATATTAATCTCACTAAATATTTGTGTAATCAGTGTTTTTTTTCATTGCAAGTTCCCACCCATCCATATATATATGCATACAAACATCATGCAATACAATGTGTGTGTGTTAATGTAACTAACTGAGCTGTATACACTATACTTTGTTACTACACATAGCTATTCGCACTCAGTTCAATTCCATACAAAAGATACGTGACAGAAGGTTTTGTCTAAAACAGTATTATTAGTCAGTCACAAAAGCAAACTTTTCCTAATGTTTTCAGCCACTTTTGGTGGATTGTATCAACATTTCTCTTGTACAAGGTACAGTCTTTTTTAAACAAAATTGTGGACCAAAATATATTTCTGTGAGGGTTCAAATTTGCAAGTTCTTTGTTAGGGAATTTCCCGATGATTTTTGTCCAAGATTGGAGTGAACATTATGTATTTAGTGTGGGCATGGATAAGTTCCAGGGTGCTAGTTGTCTGTCGTACAACACAGGGTTTAATTTGATCATCCAAGGAAGTTCTTAGTTGTTTATAAAATTGAGCTCTGTAAAAGTTTTGTAATTTATTTAGCTAACAGGATTTCTTTGTTCATGGTACAAGTTATTTTTGGCACTACCAATAATTCTTAAGTTTTACTATTGTACTGGTGCTTTATAGTCTAATGCACGGTGTCAAATCTTACATCTGTCTATTCCTTAAGACACGTGTTGATAAAAAAACAGCAGAAGTACTCTTTAGCAGATTAATTTTTCACACTCAGAGCTGATTTCAACTTAAGTGTGGTTAAGAATTAATATTTGGATTGAATAATTTTAAAGTCAGTTTCTTTTTAATGTTAGTAGTGTGAAAACCTAAAGAGGTGGTAACAAGTAACTCATCTTGATTTGTGGGAGTTGTGAATACATCACACTGTTAACACATTGGAAAGATAATTCTTTGATGAAAAAACTTTTGTATGTTGTTATTTGGTTTGAAAATAACTGAATGAATTTATAATCACTATCAATTAAAATATAAACTAGCATCCTCTTGAAGTAGAAAATAATAAAACTAGCTTGATGAAAATTTAATCAAATGAATGTAATTTTCTGAAAACAGTCAATCTAAAAAAAAGGGCCTTTATTATTTTGGTACAGAAAATTGAGCATTGGCTTTTTCATGTAATGTATTATAATGCTTGTGATCGGTACATATTCAAGAAGGTATTATCAGTATACTCTTCTACACTTAAAATTTTAATTTTCTAGGTCATTGTATTGATGCAATGATGCCTTTCACACATTATTAGAAGCACTAAAGGGATAGGTAGCCTTGTTAGTTTGATATGAAACCAATGTAGAAGTAAATTTAGATATCAAGAAACAATTTATTTATCTTGCTATTATTTACTTTAAATAGATTTTTATATTTACATGTTTATATTACCCACATGGTTAAAAGACTTGCATGACTAAGTGTATAAAGAATAATGCTTTGCCAGCATTTGCCCCAGGATAGGAAAGTTGCTGGTTCCAGATGTACCAGTGCCTCTCATAACTTCCACCAGAACACACATTCAGTAAAGTAAGAGGTGTGGTGTTACAAATATGACATACACAATGTAGAAAAAGTAAATTTATAGTTTATTTAACTCTAAAAAATAATGTTATCCAAATTATAAATGGTAAAGTAACATAATGTAAAAGCTTATTTTATACCTTATTCAACATTAAAAGTACAGTTATGCAATTATAAATTTGAAAAATAACAGAATATTAAAAATTAAATTTATATGTTATTTAATAGTAAAGTAGCCTAAGAAATTAGGTGGTGTGTGTTGCAAGTCAGTTGCACTCCCTTTAGGTGGCAGTTCAAAATTAGGGATGATGACAGACAGCCTGTGTAGCTTTGCCATAACTCAAAAACAAAAATATAACCCCCCCCCCCCTCATTACTGAGAGGGAGAGCAAGTTTGTGGCAAAGGGAAGTGAACTTCAGACCCTCAAATCATGAGATAACTCCCCTAATCACCAGATAATTCTACCTCCAAGCTAAATAAACTTGAATTAATAAAACAAAAAATATTATAAAGATTAAAATCAGGTTTTTATGCTGGCAGTGAGAAGAGCTCACATAGCCCATTGTGTAGCTTTGTGATTAACCACAAACAAACATAATGCCAGTATGAAACATACTGTTGGAGTGAAGATGCTTTGTAGTCACTATGGATAGGTGAAGTGAAGAAAAAGTTTCATTGGCCACTATTCAGTTCTTCACATTATATAGCTGCACAATAGCAGATATATTAAATAAACATAGTATTCCCAAAATTGTTTAATCTCAAAGTCTAATTTCAAGGGAGGTCCAATTTAGTCTGCATTTTGATCAACGTGTGTTATTGGGTTATACTAGTTTTGGAGAATTCCACTCCTCACCAGTAACTCTGCACACAAGTTAACCAAAGAGAGATGAGATGGACCTATATCAGTGTGAAAAGTATCCAAAATACTGTTTGTGTGAATGTGCTTTGTAGTCACTATGAGAAACCTATACACAGGATAGGTGAAATGAAGAAAAAATTTCATTGACCACTGTTCAGTTTTTCACATTATATAGCTGCACAATAGTAAATATAATGAATAAACTTAGTATTCCAAAAATTGTTTAATCTCGAAGTCTGAAGTTCAAGGAAGGTCGAGTTCAATCTACATTTTGATCAACGTATGTTATTGGGTTATCTCACCCTTTCAGTTAGTTGTATAATTGGTATAATCAAAAACTAATTTTGATTAGTTGATTATTTTCATGAGTAAGAAATAACCTTTTTTAAAAAAGGTATGATTTTTCAATCACTGGTGTGATCAATCTCAAGTACACACTAAATACTCAGTCTTCTTTTTTTTCATGTTTATAGACTGGAAAATTTCAGCTGTCTTTAGGATTTGCTTAATTTATACTCGTGAAGAGATATCCAATAAATATTAAAGGATGTTTTGATAATGCTTGTTCACACTAGAGTTCAGAGCATACATCATTTTACCCGGTGTAGTTCCAATGTAGAGAGTGAGGTTTTGTCTAGGACAAATGCAGAGGTATATGTGACACGAGATTCTCAACTGAATAAATCCTAAAAAAGTGTCATATTATAAGGAGAGAGAGTATGAGATTCGTTGCTGTTGTTTATAATCAAATAATTTCAAAACCTCAAACATTCCTGGAAATGTTAATATGGTTGTCGGACGGTATAGAACTTCCTGGATTGCCATACATAACATAAGTGTTAGCTCCCAGTGGTAAATAAGAAGGTAATAGAGAAGAACTCACTTGCTAGGGATTCTGTCTGGCCTGAAGAATAACAACCAGAAACTAATAGAATCCCAAAGCTAAAAAGCCCTGACTATAAATGAAACACTTTTCTTCAGAATTAGAGTCAGGATCAGACAGGGTGAATGAGGAACAATTTTTACCTTCTCATGCAGCTCAAGTTTTAGGTAGGAATGAACAATCTGTTACTAGTATAAGGCCTTCTGAGAAAACAAGGTATGTAAACCACCTAGGACACAGGTATCAGAATGTCTTCTTCCTGATGCAAGCAATAAAAGAAAATATGTTTTAAAGTATAGATGATAAAGCAAACAAGTCATTTGGGACTCATAAGGTGAAGCCAGAAAATGTAAAAGTAAGCCCAAAGTCTATTTGGGACAGTTCTTGGAACTTAGGATTGTTAATCATGAAATGCTCAGAAGAGGACCTTGAACAAAAGGGATTAATAGCTTCAACAGAATATAACATTGGTAGTTAAGGCAGCTGTGAAAGAAGCTGATAACCCACAATCATCAAATAAATATGTGATGGAAGAAACAATGTGTTGAGGATTGAAGAAATGTCTTTGTGTGCAATACACCAACTCTGGAGGAT